AAGAGTCTGAGAGTTTGAGTCTTTCTTCCAAGATAAGAGAAAATATCGTGGACTTAAGAGTCTGAGAGTTTGAGTCTTTCTTCCAAGATAAGAGAAAATATCGTGGACTTAAGAGTCTGAGAGTTTGAGTCTTTCTTCCAAGATAAGAGAAAATATCGTGGACTTCTATGTTACTGAAACTATTTAAGTCTAATCGGACTGTGTGCTGCACACATTTAATTATATCTATTCCTGAGGCTGAGGCAGGAGGATTGCCCGGAGTTCAAGACCAACCTGAGCTACATAGTGAGTGCCAAGCCAACCAAGACTACATAACAAAACCTAGTCAGAAAGAAAATTATTCAAACATAGGGGGCCTGAAGAGATGGCTCAGTAGTTAAGAGTACTAGCTGCTCTTCCAAAGGACCTGGGATTAATTCCCAGCACCCATATGGCAGATCACAGCCATCTTTAACTCCAGTTCCAAGTGATCTGACATCTTCACACAGACATATATGTAGGCAAAACACCAATGCACATAAAATAAATCTAAAAAAGTTATTCAAATAAAAAGTCTGTCTGCCTTTGCAGGCCTATGCCTGCAAACAAGTGTCCTACCTGGTCCATTCTCTGGCATTAGTACCTGTACTGGCTGGTTTGGTGACAACTTGACACAAGCTAGAGTCATCAGAGAGGACGGAGCCTCTGTTGAGGAAATGCCTCCATGAGATCCAGCTATAGGACATTTCCTCATTAGTGATCAGTGGAGGAGGGTCCCGCCCACTGTGGGTGGCGCCATCCCTGGGCTAGTGGGCCTGGGTTCTATAAGAAAGCAGGCTAAGCAAGCCAGGAGAGCATTCCAGTAAGCAGCACCCCTCCATGGCCTCTGCATCAGCTCCTGCCTCCAGGTCGCTGTCCTGGTTGAGTTCCAGTCCTGACTTCCTTTGAGGATGAACAGCAGTGTGGAACTGTAAGCTGAATAAACCCTTTCCTCCCCAACTTGCTTTTCGGTCATGGTTGTTGCAGCAATAGAAATCCCAAGTGCCCACCCCTCAGGTTCTGAATACAGGTTTAAAGGTGGCAAAGAAGAAAGCAAGTCACAGAAGTGGTCTGTGGCTAGGTAATAGGGTCTACGTGTGGCAAGTCGCCCCAATCTGTGGACGAACATCCTGGTATGTTGAATGAAATGGGTTTCCTTTTATTTATTTATTTTATTTATATGAGTACAGTGTAGCTGTCTTCAGACACACCAGAAGAGGGTATTGGTTCTCATTACAGATGGTTGTGAGCTACCATGTGGTTGCTGGGAATTGAACTCAGGACCTCTAGAAGAACAGTCAGTGCTCTTAACCACTGAGCCATCTCTCCAGTTCCGAAATGGGTTTCCTTAAAGTGTTGTAAAGATAAAGTGATTGGTTCGTTGTACTGGTAGCAACAAATAACCTATCTAGATGAGGCGGCTCATTCTTGCAACACCCAGGAAGATCACTAGAAGGTTGACCGTGGGTCTAAGGGCTAGCCTTAGTAATATAATAAGTAATGCACACACACACACACACACACACACACACACAGAGGACTAAGGACTGAGCCAAAAAAGACCTGAGTTCAAACCCCAGAACTCATGTCAAAAAAAAAAAAAAAAAAGACCAGCTTTGGTGGCACGTGCTTATATCTATTTCAGTGCTAGGAAGAGACAGACAGCTGCGGCCCCTGGTCACTCAGGCTACCTCTATGTGGCAGTCTCCATTTGAGTGAGAGAGAGACTGTGTCATAACAATCTAAGACTGGACTACTGACATGACTCAGTAGGCAAAGGCTCTGACTACCTAGCCTGATTACTGAGTTCATCCCCCATACCAAAATGGTGAAAGGAAAGACTCCGCTCTCAGAAGATGTCTTCTGTAAACACATACACTGCAGCGCATGTGCTCACACACGCACACAAAAAGTGTAATTCAAAAGTTTAAATAAAAGCAAACTGGCCTGGCACACCGTTAGCTCCAGCACTCTGAATGCAAAAGCAGACAGACAGACAGACAGACCTCTGAGTTTGAGGCCAGCCTGGTCTACAGAGTAAGTGCCAGGACAGCTAGAGCTACACTGAGAAACCCTGTCTTGAAAAAAACAATTAATTCAGTGGACAGACTCAGAGGAATGACAGTCAAGGTTATCCTGCGGCTGCCACACTCACCCAGGCAGCTAAAAACAAAACACAGAGTTAAGTATCAAGTACCAAAGTCTCAATTGCCACAGGCTGGTAATGAATTCACTACGTAGCTAAGGAAGACTTTGAACACTTACTCCAATAGGCTGGAGCCACCACACCCAGTTCAGCATTGTTACATAGGTATGGTGGGCTGGGTATGGTGGAAGATGCCTGTAATTTCAGCACTCAGGAGGTGGAGGCACACCAATGGCTGAGTTCCAGGCCAGCCAGGACTACAGGACTACATAGTGAGACTCTTTCTCAAAACACACACATACACACACACACACAATCAACAAAAACTAAAAACCACCAACCACCTTTGTTTGCACTGTATGTAAACTGAGCCCTATAGACTACCGTTTTATAGGTCAAGAGGGTGGAACATTGATTTCACCTGCTTTATGTTTGTGCTGGGTGAGAATGTCCATTGCATTGTTTACTATGAGTCACGGTCCAGATGACGTAAGAAATACCAAGAGATTTGTAATACGGTATGTACATACATGTACCAACACATGTAATATAGGTTTAGTCACTAAGTCTGAAAATAGGAGCTAGGGTCACTCCTCAACCCCACTTCCCAAGAGAGTTTTCTTTCCTACTAATTTGCACCCCAGGTACTTAAACATATGGACTGCATTAGCTTAAGAGGTAGATAAGGCCGGGTGGTGGTGGCGCATGCCTTTAATCCCAGCACTTGGGAGGCAGAGGCAGGCGGATTTCTGAGATTGAGGCCAGCCTGGTCTACAGAGTGAGATCCAGGACAGCCAGGGCTACACAGAGAAACCCTGTCTCAAAAACAAACAAACAAACAAACAAACAGGCAGATAAGACAAGTAGGTTCTGGAAGGGTTCAAGGGGCACAGATAGAGCGGGGTTGGGTTGGGCAGGGCTTGTCTAAGCAGCCCGAGCTGAAATCCACAGCCCTGTGGTTTCATCCCACCCAGTTTCCCAAGAATTCTGAGTTCTGTACTGTCAGGCAGTTATCCATGTCATCCACCGTGGGAGGAATCTGGGGTAACACTATCCTGTCCTCAGTTTTCCAAGATGCTGCTATTTTTCCTGGCTTACTGGGTTATGTCACAGCCTTCTTTCTCCTGGCTTATTGGGTTGTGTCACAACCTTCTTAGGATGACTTCATTCACACTAACTCCTGTCACCACGGGAAAGGAGGGGGAGACTCAGATCCATACCATGCCAGACGAATGCAGGTTCAGGAGCCAAAGCGATTGCTGACATAGAACCAAAACTGGAATCCTATGTTGGAGAGATGGCTCAGTGGTCAAGAGCACTGGTTCCCAGCATCCACATGCCAGCTCACAGCCATCTGCCAGAAACCAATTATGGGGCATACACTCTTCTGGTCTCTGTAGGCATCAGGCATACATGTGGTACACTGACAAACATGGAGGCATAATGTCATGCACATACAAAAAAAAATCGTTTTTAAAAAATAGATTCGGCCGGGCAGTGGTGGCGCACGCCTTTAATCCCAGCTCTCGGGAGGCAGAAGCAGGCGGATTTCTGAGTTCGAGGCCAGCCT